TGGGGCCCTTTTGTTTTTGGACAAGACTTTGCAACAAATATAGGTTATGAACATGTTAAGGGATTCTAGATTACTGGTAGTCAGCAGTCTGACTTTATATTAATTAGATTGACAAGCAAAAATAGTATTTTTTCAATTCAATTTTGACCGTAGATTTCCCATATTACTAGTTTTTATGAAGCAATTTCAAATTGTTAAGGCACGTTTTGAAATATTTTTAAAAATAACTAAAAACGTATTTGGATTACTAAAATCACTTACATCAACGTTTAATACAAAGATTTAAAGTGCCTAATTAAAAAAAATTACTTTTAAGTGTTTTCTAAAAGAATCACATGTTATATCCTTATTTCAGAAATTGTTTTCATATATGCAAGAAATTTCAATTTGCTTATCATAAAAGGGCTTTGAAAACATAAGTACTTTTTAAAAAGGCATTTTCAAGCATGTCCTAGTACAAGGTAATGTGAAGGAGCGTGTTGTCGTGTTAAAGATGGGCCTAGTCCTCAAAATGTTTTACTGGACAAAATAAAATGGGTTGACATAATTCAGGAAGTGGGCTTTTGGTACAATCCAAATCCACAGCTCCAAACTTTTTTATTTTGTAAGTTTGGTTTTATTCGAGCGATATTCTGATTCAGTATAAACTACGGAGTTGAGGTTCAAAAGTAAATGTAGAGAGGGGAAGCACAAACTCATGCATAAGGTCTTTTCGTGCCCTTTTGTTGGTTTTTACAGATCGCCCAACAACACAGGACTGATGGTAGCAGGACTCATCTTGATGGGGCGATACACAAGATAGAGACCTTACCAACTGAACCGACTAATCTTGGCCATGCATAAGGTCTCTGGTAATATGAAAAAAGAGAAGAAAATTAGCAAACTAGAAGTTGGTGGTTTTGTTCGTAAGTCAATTGGGTCTATTCGTATCAAACGTTAAGACGTTTAGAGTCCTTTAATAATCATTTGGTTTCACTTTTAAACAACTTCAAATTGTTTTGAGTGTTTAGTTTTTGTTCGTGTTTTTCTTTATATATTTCTTTTGTACAAAATGATCACAGAAAACTAAAAACGAAATCGTTAGCAGACGAGGTGTAAGAGTAGGTTTGATAAATCGATCTGCATGGTTAATAAGGTCCTTTTGTGTTTTGGACAAGAGTTTGCAAATGTTAGTGCTTAGCCTGTTCAAGATGGGCTTCCTCCTCATGATCTGTGTTTGATTTGTAAAAGCTTAAGGCCCTTTTATTTTTGGACATACATTGGATGTAAAACAGGTTTTTCGTAACAAAAGTTTTCTTGACAATTAGACCATTCCAACTTTTGGATAAAACTATAAGTGATCATTTACCACAATGATGAAAAAGAGTGTTACCTTTGCACTATGGAGTGAGTTCGAACCTCGTTGACTCTCTAATCTAACATCTACTCTAACAAATCTATCATTTGACCCCAAAAAAAAAAAAGACTCTTGGATTAAAACCTAAATTAACACAATTTTTCTTCAATGGTTGGGTCTAAAATAAGTGGAGGCCGCAGCAAAGCGACGCGCCCAATGTGCGTGGACGCGTGGATGGTCCACCTTATGCGCATGGATTAAAAGATTGGTCCACCTTATGCGCAAGACAATGCGCCCCATGCACTCTTTAGTAACTTTTATGGTAATGGTCGATTTCCTATCTGAACTTGTACAGAGCTGCCAATTTCGCCAATGAACTTTAATTTTAACCAATTACCCTTTGAACTTTTATAATATTGGTCAATTTCTCTCTTGAATTTTAATTAGCTATATACCCTCCTGAACTTTTATAATTGACCAATTTTCTTCATGAACCCCCAACCCAAAACTCTAAACCCGAAAGTTTATAAAAAAAATTAAAAAAAAGGTGTACTAAGTGAACTAGCAGAAGAAAAGAAAAATAGTATGTTGTCCACATTATGGGATAAGATTATGTGTTTTGCAATTATAAAATTAAAGTTAATGGGAGAATTTCGCCAATTATAAAAGTTCGGGAAGTAATCGGCTAAAATTAAAGTTCATGGAAAATTAGAAAATTATAAAAGTTCATGAGGTAATTAGTTAAAATTAAAGTTCACGAGAAAAATGAACAACTCCTTACAAATTTAAAGAGAAAAATTGACAAAACCTCTATTATCTTTACACGCACTCTATATTTTTGACAATCGATTTCTCTAAATTTGTTCAATACGAAAACTAGAATATGCCAAATATGCTTTTCAATGTTTTTATATTGAGCCGAAAATCACTACCTCATCAGAAAGAACAAAGTACGAAATGAAAACAATACAAAACCAGCTGCAAGATGACCACTAATTTTCATATAAACTCATAAGAAAGAACAAAATATGAAATGCAAACAATACAAAACCAGCTGCAAGATGACCACTAATTTTTATATTTTATATGCTAAAAAAATTAAAAATATAATAACCATTAGCTTGGTTCAATAAAATAAAAAATAATGTATTTTAATTGGACATAAGCATTCAATCAAGGGAATTTTAACGAAAAGCTCCCGGTACCTTTCACTTTAACAAAAAATCATATTTTTACACTAAAAAGTCAATCATGGTATTATTCATGTTACCATTTATTTTGTCTTTATTGTTAAAACTCAAAGTTTTTAAATTTTTTTCATTAATTTTCCTTCGAATCAATGGTCCATTTATATGTATATTCTTTATCTTTTATTAAGAAGTGACAACATCTTATTAGATTTAATACATAAATTAATTTGTCACTCAGTATTATGGTCTCGTGGTATTTCTCTTCACTTGGAAGTGAGAGGTCTTAGATTCGAATCTTGTAAATGACGAATTCAATACCAAATTAAGTTACCCATTGTGTGGCTTAACCGAACTCATTCTCTCTTTAAAGTAAAAATATCGATGTATTAAAAAAATACATAAATTAATCCATAATTAAACCATATTTCTCATTAGTCAAAGGGCAATGATGGTCAAATACGCTTATAGATGTGAACTTAGGACAATGATTGTCTGCCCTTCCACTTCTCGTGCCCTCCTGTTTGTGTGATCACGGTTAAGCGACGTCAACATTTTATATTGATTTTTTTATAGATAAATTATAGGCGCACCTTCTTTTACCTTTTATACATCTTTTTCAGTTTTTAACTGTCGAATTAAATGAATTAAAAATGATAAAATTTATAAATAAATAAAAAAGTATGGTACGTAAAAAGAGATGTTTGAACAACATCACCTTTTAACTTTAGAATATGTGAAGATAACTAACTATAGTTATACTCGTGTTTCATAAAATAGATATTACTAAATCATACAATTGTATCTTATCATGCACACGGCATAATATTTCTCTCATGAAGATTTTACTTAAACACAACATATAGAACGACCACCAGAGTTTTAGGGACGAATTTCAAGCCCGTATTCTACACAATATGTCTTGTATTCCATTCACGACGCTGATGAATCACATGATTGTGGTCAATGGAGGTTCAAATGCCTCTGTGAGTTTTCCAAACCCTCAGAATGGTGGACTGCCAAGTTGAAGACAACAACTAATTTTTTTTTTAGGAAAAACACAACATATAGAATTTTTATATGCAGAATCAATTTAGTCAACGTTCATTACAATAGTAATTCACTTCTTTATAACAACTTTAACTAACTGCTGGCCAAATGTATTTGAAAATTCTTTTAAAATAACTGAAAATGTTTTTAGTGAAATAATCTGGCGCTGAGGCAGATCCATTATAATGTATTAATTTGTTTTCTAATGGCATATGCCATAAATTAGTAAATTGAATGAGGATCTTTGCCGGATCCTTTAATCACGTTCGTTTATCGTACTTCGTGTGGTCATAAATCAATGTACTTTTTTTAAAAAATTTAAAATTAAATATAAACAGTACCTGATGAAAACTGACCACACAATTTACGATAAACGATAAACGAACATGATTGGAGGATTCTCAGGATCCTCACAAAGAGGATCCAGAGAGGATCCTCATTCTAGTAAATTAGTATGTATTCCATAAATGAGGAGCCTATATTTATCATCTGCCACTACTTGTTGAATTCATGACCAAATACGATCTCTCTTTCTGGATATTGTATTATCAAAACATGGAGCCTGCTACGAAACCTACCTCATGGGTCATCCCAGTTGAACTTTCAACTCTTGCATCAATCTCTCTAGAAGAACTTTCTACAATTTGAGATGACACTTCAATGGTATCTAAAATCCAACAACATTAAGTATCTTAAATTTCATTTTCATACAATAATACGTGATTGATTTGAGATACTGATACAATGACATTTCGATTAAATGTAAGTTTTTCTTTAAATTAACTAAACACGATCACGTGCCAAGCTTCATATCAATTGATTTGAGATATCGTTATGCTACAATACTATCACGATTAAAAATATGGATTTCTCTGTGGTATCTCTCATTCTCGAAGAAAGGTGGTTAAATCTTCAAGGTTTCATATTCACACGATGGTGATCAGGGAGAAACATAAATGCCCTTGTGAGCTTTTCTGACTCTGAAAATAGTAGGCTGCTGTGACAAAGCCACCGACTGATCATTTTTGAAAAAAAAAAAAGAAGTTTTGGTCTCAAACATGAAAGTTCCATATTCAAACAAGCCAACAACCACTCTTTCATTGTCAGAGTCCCCACCATGAAACCACTTGATTACTTAATAACTTATCCAATAAAAAATTGAATTGACACACTTAAAAAAATAAAAAATAATAAAAAATAATAATAATATTACAACTTTTGCATGAAAAGGACATAAGGGAGGAAGAAAAAGGGACTTGTTTGTCTGCTCTCCTATTTCGGTGTCCTTCTCGTGCCCTCCTGTTTTATGTGGTCACGGTTAAGCTACGTTAATATTTTATATTAATTTTTTATAAAAATAATAAAACAAAAAAAAAAAATAATATAAAATGTTGACGTGGCTTAATCGTGACCACAAAAACAGAGGGCACGGAAGGCACCACAATTAGAGGGCAGACAATCCAAGTCCAAGAAAAAGATCAAACAACCAAACCAATCACCATTTTCATCAGACAACCAAAACCCCAACACCGAATTTTCCCGAGAAAATAACTTTCCCGGAAAATTTCAGTTTCAGTTTCGCCATGGACAGGCTGGTGAAGCCAGACGTGAAGGAAGTGGAGCTCAACTTCAAGCGAGACCAAAAGTGCAGCGCAACCTTCCGGCTTAGCAACCTCATGCACACCATGTCCGTCGCCGTCTCTCTCACCACCACCAACCCATCTCTCTTTTCCTTCACTCACCCCCTCTCCATAATCCCGCCGCTCTCTTCCTCCTCCTACACCCTCCTCCTCTCTCAGCCGTCCGATCAGCCCCCGCTTTCCCTCACCGCCAACCCTCATGACGTCATCAACGTCGAGGCCTCCATGCTCCCCACAGGGAAAGCCGACCAGGAGGATCTCCGCCGCCTGTTCCGCCGGTCCGGGCCTCACGTTTTCCGGGACGCTACTATACCCATCTCGTTTGTGGGTCCGCACGTGGTTGAATTTCTGATTTCTCAGCTCACCCGGATCTCGGAATTCGATTCGTTTTTTAACAAGGCGATTTCTGGGTGCTCTGGGGCTGAGCTCACGGCGCTGCTCGGTCCCGCCATAGCTTCCGGGAATGCTAATTTGGTCTCCGACCTGATTGACGCCGGTGCGGTTGTAAATCAGAGAGATTCGGATTCCGGGTCTTTGCTATCTCTCGGTGTTCGGTCCGGAAACATTGATATTGTGAAGGTTCTGATCGCCTCCAGCTGTGAAATTGGTAATTCAGCAGACGAGGTCTTGCACGACGCGGCGGCGATGAACCGGGTCGATTTGTTTGAGATTTTGTACAAGACTATCGGTGGAATTGACGTGAATTTGGTTGACAAGGAAGGTCGAACTCCGATTCATATCGCGGCCGCGCACGGCCATGTCGAGATGTTGAAGTTTTGTATTTCTATCGGAGGCAATGCGGAGGTTACGGACTGTAGAGGTTGGAGTCCGCTTCACTGGGCGGCGGAGAAGGGGCATTTGGGGGCCGCAAAGTGTTTGTTAAATTGCTCCAATGTGAAATACGCCGTCACCAAAGACGGAAGGACGGCTTTCGATCTCGCCGCCGCGAACGGGCACACGAGACTGCTGGGTTTCCTGCGATACGACGACGTCCTGAACCGGGCGGCAAGGTTGGACGACGCTCACGGGATAAAGAGTTGCCTTGCGGAGGGGGCAGAGGTGAACGGGAGGGACCAGAATGGCTGGACCCCTTTGCACAGGGCGGCGTTCAAAGGGAGGATCGAGTGTGTGAAGGTGTTGCTTAATCATGGTGCTCTGGTGGATGCCGTGGACGATGCCAGCTACACGCCGCTGCACTGCGCGGCGGAGGCGGGGCACGTGGAGGTGGCTCTGTTGCTGGTTGCTCATGGAGCTCGGGCCAATGTGAAGAGCTTGGAGGGAATTGTTCCCACCAATTTGGACCGTTTCAACTTCAAGAACCACCCTGCTCTTTTCAACCCTTGCGTCATGAAAAAGAGCGAGTTTAGCCGGGAAATAAACGCCTATCACGGAGCTAAACCTACGTTGTAACGTCAACGTGACGGTATTTTGTGTTGATAACGCAGTAATAAATGTACGATTGATTTGAAATAACGTCAAATTGCAGATATAACTAGGTTTTTTTCGTGACACCGTGATTGTCGAGTTTCTTGTTACATTATGTGATCAATGGGTATATATTTGTGTTAATTTTTTGATGTTTGTATAACGTGGATGGGAATGGTGATGAGTTTTAATGGTTTCTTCAACCCATGTATACTACGAGAATCAAGATTACTAGCACTTAAAATGAATTGAAAATTTTGTTTTAATTGACGCGTTTTTTGCTTTATTTATAAGGAAAACTAATGAAAATAACTTGAAAACTTTGAGCTTTAACGATAAAGACAAAATAAAGGGTAAAATGAATAGTACCATTATTGACTTTTTATTGTAAAAATGTGGTTTTTTGTTAAAGTGAACAATATCGAAAACTTTTTGTTAAAGTCCCTTTATTTCTATCCTGGTTGATGATGTTATAACTTTATTTAGAACGATTTTGATCCTCGACTTCCTCCATGTTCCCTCACCAGAATGCCTGCTAGTTGTTTCCTCTAATATTGGGAATTCAAGTGTCTGTCTAGTTTAATCGGACTTGTTACCGTAGTTGGGTTTTAAAGAGTTGGAGACGATGCAAGCGTGCAAATGATGCATGTGTTGGACACGGGATTAGCAATCCTTTATTTTTTGGGGGTTTTACTAAGACCACCAAATGAAGCATTTAGTCAACACAAGTTCGATTTAGGGCTGGTTTGATATTGATGTGCTTTTAAAAAAAAACTGTTTCTGCTGTGTTGTGAGAATAAGCAGCTACGAAATAAATTAGCAGAGTGTTTGGTAAACGTTTTTGTAAAAGTACTTTTGGAAAAAAAGGCAGCATTATAATGTTTGGTAAAATTTTATGTAAAACAACTGTAACCGTGTGAAATGATAAAAAAAGATATAATACTAGATGTGCCATTAATTTAATTTTCTTAACAAATAAAGGTGAAATACTAAATATACTTTATTTTTAAAAGAAATAAACTTTATTTTAAACATATAATCTAACATTCAACATATAATCCAACATTTATGCTGCTTCACGTTTTTAGTTTTTTTTTTCAAAACTCATTTTTGCTGCTTCATGTTTTCAAATTTTTTCACCCAAAATTGTGAAAATAAGCAGTTTTTAGTGTTTACCAAACACCTTCTTTTTTATACCAATTTTTTTATAAAACCACCTCAGTACCAAACCTATACTTAGTCTCATTAAAGTCACTTCTTGCTCGCACCAAACATAGAGTTGTAATCCTAACTAAGCTAGTCCAGTCCAATAAAACTTATTGCGAGCAAACAAACATGCACTTTTGTTTTTTTAAATTTTAAAAAGACTCATGCAATAAAGCTAGTACTGGCAAACAAACGCGCCCTTAAAATAAAAGAAAAATTACTCATGCAAGAAAATGTGCTGTCAGCAAAATTCACTGGGTTAGCAAAAGTGACCAAAGCTCACCGTTTTGGAGGAACAGTTTCGAAACTTTGAGCCATCGACGCACCTTCCGGGCTTCCCTCGTCCTAAAATTTTTCCCTCTTTTTCCAATTCCCCGCCAAAAATCAAATTTCCACGCTGGCGATCCGCGCCTAACCTCATCAGCCAATCAAAACACAGTACTCGCTCTTATATAAACCCGCTCCCTTCCCCAAACCCTTCAAGCCCCCCACGGCAATCGCACCGTCGCTTTTCCTCTCGAATTTTCGCGGCTAGGGTTGCGGATTCCGATCCGAATTTCAAAATTCGATATGAGTTCTCCGACCTCCAAAGGCGGCAGAGGCAAGCCCAAGGCCTCCAAATCCGTCTCCCGATCTTCCAAGGCCGGCCTCCAGTTTCCCGTCGGTCGTATCGCGCGGTTCCTCAAGGCCGGCAAGTACGCCGAGCGTGTCGGCGCTGGCGCCCCCGTCTACCTCTCCGCCGTCCTCGAGTATCTCGCTGCTGAGGTTTGTTCTCTAATCCGCTTCATTTCCTTTGTTCATTTCTCTTTTCATTTTCCGATTCCGGGTGCTGTTTGGCTTCCGAGAAAATGCTGAATCGAGTAATGTTTGTAATGCGATTTTTTATACATTGAATCGTTCTCGTTGAAAATGGCTTTTGACTGGACTCGATTTTCATAACTTTGAAAATTTCAACAATCTATTGCTGCGCTTTGTGTTATTTATCTGATTTTAGACTCTTGGTGCTGTTTGGCTACTGAGAAAAATCTGGAATTAAATTCGGCTTCTGATTTGAGTTACATTTTGAATTCTTTTCATTGTGAATGACTTTTGATTGGACTTGATTTTGAAAATTTCAACAATTTACTGCTAAGCTTATGTTCATTTTCTGCTTCAAGTTGCTGTTTGGCTTCTAAGAAAATGCCAGAATTGCACTGAAACGATTTGGTTCGATTGGATTTACAGGTGCTTGAGCTTGCTGGAAATGCAGCCAGAGACAACAAGAAGAACCGAATTGTCCCGAGGCACATTCAGCTGGCTGTGCGGAACGACGAGGAGCTGAGCAAGCTTTTGGGGGCTGTCACGATCGCAAACGGCGGTGTTATGCCCAACATCCATCAGAATCTGCTGCCGAAGAAGGTTGGCAAAGGGAAAGGCGAAATTGGATCCGCCTCACAAGAATTTTAGGGTTGTATTGTTGTAATCTGGAATTTTATGGGTTGTAAAATTTTGGGAAATTTCAGGCTTAATACAGATTTATTATTAGTCTTGTTTGGTACCTGGAAAAGTTTGCAACTTTTTGTGTTCAAGAGTGGGATTACATTTCATTTTGGTGCGGGTTTGATTTTAAAGATTAGTTTTTTTTTTAACAATTTAATTTTTTTTAACAATTTAATTTGCAAGCGCTATTGGTTGTCTGAAAAAAGTGTTTTATTGGTGCAATTGATTTGTGTAAAATGAAAAAGGATTTAGATGTCAGAAAACAAAATAGTAAAAGGAAATGATTATAATTGTATTCTAAAAAGAGATTTGTTATTATTATTTTAAAATTTTTATTTTACATTTTTTATAAGTGTATTTTTTAATTATAAAAGATTTAAAGTGTAAGGTGATATTTTTAAAGTGTAAATAATAAATTTTGTTTTTTTTTTTAATTTAGGGCAATAGCTTCTAAGGTTTATATAATAATTCTAGAAAGTTGGTTTTTTGGTTTGGCAAATGTTTCTAAACGATTGGGAGTGTTTTTAAGGAAAAATATTTTTAGATTTTAAAAGTATTTAAAGTTTTTTTTTGTATGAAGCATTGAAGTTTTTTTCCATGATTAATTTACATTTTTATTAAGAATTAATTTTAAAAAAATTTCAATTTTTTTTAATTATTTAAAAACACTTGCTAAACGAGTGCATATTAACGTGGGTGGAGATGCTAATTTGTATAATATGCAGTAGTGTAAAAATAAAAGCTCTATCTTTTTAGAATAGCATTGTTCACATATTTAGTTTTACTTTATGTGCATAATTTTTTACTATTAATTTTTTTTAATTTGACAAAGAAAAATTGAGAGGAGCAGATGAAAAATTAAAGGGAATTTTAATAAAATACTTTTGATATTGTTTATTTTTAACAAAAAATTATATTTATACTTTTTCATGGTATTATACATTATATTTTTAAAAATAACTTTTCATTAAAATAGAAATTTTTCTCTTTAACTTTCCTAATTAAAAATGGGTGTAAGGATAACATTGCCGACGTTTTATCAGTCCAACCCCTGAAATCCCGACAAAAACAATAGAACCGCCGAAATCCGTCACTTCCATTTTCTCGTTCCCCGCCGTCCCTCTCGCAATTCACAAACTCCGAGAGAGCTTCTCCGGCGGAAGCAATGGCGGTGCCGCTCGTTAACCTCGCACCGAATCTAACAGTCTCAAAGCTCTGCTTGGGTTCGTCACTCTCCCTTCTCCATTTCCAATACTGTCCCTCGCATTCGCACTGAGAATCCGACTCATTTTTCGCAGGGACGATGACTTTCGGCGAGCAAAACTCGTTGCCCGAGTCATTTCGGCTCCTCGGCGGAGCTCTCGAGGCCGGAATCAACTTCTTCGACTCGGCAGAAATGTACCCGGTGGTTCAGCGAGCAGAGACTCAGGGTAGGAGCGAGGAGTACCTCGGCCGTTGGATTAGAGTGAGCAAAATCCCTCGAGACAGCGTCATTTTGGCCACCAAGGTTGATAAAGCTCTGGTTCTAACAATTCACGCCAATGGTGTTATTATGTTAGATTTCTTTTGGTTTTTGATGTGGGAACATTGTGTTGATGCAGGTTACGGGACCCTCTGGGCAGATGACTTGGATTCGAGATGGCCCCAAGTGTTTGGATGCCAGGAATATCGCCGATGCCATTGACGGCAGGTTTGATCAAGCATATAGTTCATAGTTTTAGTTCTGCTTAAGCACTTTGTGTTATGGCTTGCTTAGTGATGGGATATGTAATGATTAAATGCAGTTTAAGGAGATTGCAGACGGATTACATTGATCTTTATCAGATTCATTGGCCCGATCGGTTTGTGTGTAGACTTTTTTTTGTTCAGTTGTTTGTGAAATTAGTGGAAAATTCAAGTTAATTTTAATTCTGGATATCCCATTGCTAGATATTGTTCAAAGTTTATTTCTTGCCCCCAACTGTATACGTGTACTTCACAAAGAAGTTTGCTTGACTTCACTGCGGTTTGGATAAACTTGAGCTTCAATGTGCACCGAGCGTTTAGTAAAACTTTCAGCTGATTGATGATTGTTTTTGTAGCTATGTTCCCATGTTTGGAGAAACTGAATATGATCCAACCCGACAGTTTTGTTCGATTCCTATAGAGGAACAGCTGGATGCTCTTGGGAGAGCCGTTGATTCGGGTAAGGTTAGTTTCATACTGTTGGTGTTTTTCTTATAGCAATGTTTTGAGAACAAGGTGATGGCATAGTGATTGAAAGGTTCTGTTTTATAGATCAGATATGTTGGTCTTAGTAATGAAACACCGTACGGTGTCATGAAGTTTGTTCAGGTGGCTGAAAGGAGCACTTACCGTCCAAAGATTGTGTCTCTGCAGGTTGTCTATTTGATACAAATCATACTCTCACTCAAATGGTTACTGTATTTCTCCATCGGTTTTTGGACTAATTCGACTTATTGTTTATTTGATAGAACGCATACAGCTTGCTCTGCCGAACTTTTGATTCTGGATTGGC